CCCGCAGCTGCACAAGGCACAGACAAGCTGGAACTACGCTTGAGGGTAAGAAATAACTGCAGCTTCCCTGGCCTCGCTTTAGCTGCCGCCTTGTAAACTGAGGCTACTGCATAGCAACACACCCAGACAGCTCACTAAATCCCAGCTTAGCCCCCTCACGGCAAGAATAAGCTACAAGTGATGGTCCTATTAAAAACAGGCAGCAAAAATACGACACGCGGAGATTTCAGGAGCAGTGTGTGGATGGTATTAATACCTCCCCCCCAAGTTTTGTCATGATCTGGGGAACATTTAAACAACGAACTAATGGAAAAATACTCAATGGCACAGCATAAAGTGCCGGAAGGGACAGAGAGGGCTGCCTCACCTCGAAGGGGTGCCTGCTCTGGTCGCCGGCCGACGTCGAGGAGCTGGTCTCATTGTCCGCGTTCCTAGGGGAGGAGTAGCACCGGTGAGGTGTGAGGGCACGGCCCTGGCTGGCCCTGCAGACACAGCGTCTCGGTGCCACCTGGCAGGAGGGACCGTCCCTGTGCAGAGCTGAGCTGGAAGGGGCCGCAGAGCTCTGCTCACCTTCCCCCCCACCCCGGGCAGGGCCAGCTCCGCCCTCAGCTCCTCATTTTCAAATTGTCCACACCAGTTTCCATTCATCCCTCCCAGCAACTTTGTTCTCCCACATCTTGACCCACCTCTCCCTGCCCTTTTAGATTCTGATTTCATGAAGCTACAGAGAAGTGTCTGAACCACAAGAACTCCCCACAGGATCCACCTCCCTCGAGTCAGGCACCGGGAGGAGCAGCCTTAAGGTGCAAGCCCTGGCCACTACGACCCAAACAAGCTTAAATCTAATCCTGAATCAAAGGAACTTCTCTCTTGCAAAGGCATGTGGCCAAATGGGACAGATTATTAGGAAAACTCTTAATGACGTCAGGCTTCTGCTTTCAGAGAGCTGCAAAAACGTTTCCTGCTCAGTGGCCAGGTCTGAGCTCTGACACTCGTGGTAGCACAAGGAAAGGTTCAGCTCCGGGGGTCACAGCAGATCACCCGCACGGCTTGGGCCAGCCAGGGCTGACGTTCAGCCTCTGAGGTTGGTGTGGTCAGACCAAACGTCACCTTGCCAGCACATAAAGACCCCCCCGTCCCCCTCCCCAGCAGGCAGCAGTGTGTGCCCGGCACAGCCCAGCCTGCCCCGGCTTGGAGCTGCCTGCACGCTGCCTGTCCCGCAGCCGCTCGCAGCCAAGGGCCGGCAGACGCAGCTCAAACATTTTAAGCCGCTTCTCCTGCTCCTGCCCGTTCCGACACTGCCAGAGAGCAACGCCGCTGCTGAGTCAGCAGCAAAGCACGTGAATGCAGATCTCAGCTGCTCCAGCGCAGAGTTCAAAGTCTCAGTCACAACGTTTCGCCATTTGTACTCCAAGTTATTAAATTATACGCTGCGGCATAGGTACGCGCTCCATTCCGCAGGTTCCTCTCTCCGAGGGTCAGCTCTACTCTGGTGACTCAAACCAGTTCAGAGCTACCACAGGCCACGGGGAAAAGCCTCTCTGCTGCTGCTTTTTGTTTGAAATCAACCCAGTCCTCCCCACCCTCTACCAGCCCCCTGTGACACCAGGCACTCCCGTGGCTGCCTCACCTGTAGATGCAAACTATGCAAATTAAGCACTCTACCCATAGCGAGGAAAGATGAGCCAATGTAGGCAGGAGTAGTAACAACAGTGTATTCAGTACCCAGCATCACCTTTTAACTAGGAAAAGAGCAAAGCAGACTGAGTTCGTCCCAGCAACAGGCTTTGGGGCAGCACATTACCTTGGCTCCTCAGGAAGCTCTTCAATAAAACCAGATTCACACCGCGGGCAAATATAGTCCTATGGGAGAAGAAACATCGAATAAGCAAAGGAAGAAGCTGTTTGTAAAAGCTGCAAAGAGCGTGATGGGGCAGAAGAGTCCTGCAGCCCATCATCGTCCCAAACTCACACCACGATTACAGGGCCAAAGCCACCCCAACCCAGTGGGTATCTGCCTTCCCCAGATGGGTGAGGTAAATTGCTAAGCCTGAGCTCGTTTGGAACTTGGCTTTAGAAAAAGATCTGGATAACGCTAATTAATCCGCAGTAGAGACAAAGCATTAGGTAACATTTGATGTAGTTCTGGGCGAGGTGAAAGCAAAACCCCCATCTCTCCCCAGAACAGCAGCGCTCAGACAGTTTTTAAGTAGCTGCGTGTTTGGGGGCCTTCCCTGCCCCCCTCAAGGGCCAAACTGCCCCCATGAAATAGACACTGAGGGAGCTGCAGCTAATCCAGAGTCAGTGCTGCTCAAGGAAAGCTGCTGCTAACGCAGCCCGGGGTTCAACCACGCCGAGGCGACGCAGGAGGGTCATTCTGCAACATGTAACACCAGAACCTTCCAGAACCTTCCACTCTGCGATCCTTCCAGGAGGCTGCTCCACTCTTTAGTCTGTAACAGCCCAAACTGAGCCTGCTGATGCAGACAGCCTGGCTGGGGGGCAGCCGGGTTCCCTGTGAGGTTGTGACAGTCCCTTTTATCCTCTTGATGCCTGGTGCCAGTGAAGAATTTTTACTCCACCACTTCGCTGCTGCAGCAAGCGGCAGCCCAGGACGGTTGCGACCCCAAAAGGAAGTGACTTGGCTTTGCAGCGGGAGGGAGGGAGCGAGTGGCGCCGTGGCGGCGGCAGAGGAAGCGACGGACCCCGCAGCCACCCCCAACCACGGCCAAGGCAACACCCTGAACCCCGCGCTGGCAAAGCCAGGCTCAGCGGGAAGAAATTTAAGAGCTTCTAAAAATAACGGTACTTCCCTTTACTACTGCTACATTGGAATTGGCACGGGCCCTGAAACAGAGTCAACAGATTCCCCTAAAGAGAGGATGCCGGCCACGTGGGCTTGCTCTGATAAGACACCTGGAATTGCTCTTCCAGCCACCACAGAAAAACCCGATAAGGCCCCAGCACGAGGCAGCGGCACCAGCGATCCCCTCAGCGCTGCCCCACAAGATAAGGGAGCGGCAAACACCAAGACCTAGAGAGAGACCCAGGAAAAGCTGCTGCTCCCTCTCCCGCCCAGGGCTCTTCCAAGCCGCAATTGGGAAATAACCGCGTCCAGGCAGTTTGCACAACGTTTGAATTCAGGAACATTTCTACACCGTGCAAGTTCTTCTCAGAGGCGGTTACTGACACACAGGAACTCCTGCGCTGGTCACAGGAGAGCACACCAGTTGCCTCTGCCCTCAAAACACCCTGTTACTGGTTTACGTTCTAGCAGCGCGCCACGGGGGCGGCCACCCTCGAGCCGTGAGCAACCTCCTCCTCCTCTCAACCCTCCTATCTAAGGGCGGCTTTTCTGCGCGTGTGCTCACAGACAACTCTGAACACAGGGATCAGCAAATTCCTCGGCAGCTGGAACAGCACAAACGTCAAAGTTTGTTGTTTCTCGGGCTGTTTGAACTGCTCCTTTCGCGGCGTCGGCCACGGTACCTGCAGGAGCATGGTCTGCAAACAGGAAGGGAAACCAAATGACATCGGACCCCCAAAACAAGCTCATTAACTGGCAATTAGCTAAGTCTGGATCAGGAACCTCAGCTGTGCGCTCCCTGCCACGGCTCAGCGCGTTCACTACCAGATGCGCTTTGCTGGCACAAGCCCAACATGGAGTGTTTAAACAAAAATAAGCAACTGGTATTTTTCAGTTGCAACCTTCGGCTCCCGAGCCACCTTGTCCCGCCCATCTACGTATTCAGCAGGAGCAGTATCAAGAGTTTTGTCTTCATGCTTAAACACAAGCGGTGACATTTACCAGCAAGGCCTACCCCCGCCCCACCAGCGCGGCCGACGGGGAGGGCCAAAGGACAAACAGCGCGTCACAAAACCAAACCAACGGCGAAGTCTGACCAGCCGTGACACAGAGACGCCTCTGCCCGCAGTCGTGTGACTTCTAACGTCCAGTAAAACTTAACAAAAAGCAGCGCCGTATCTTGACAAGACGCCGTGAAAAGTTTCAGGACAAACAGAGACCGGCAGAATCCTCTGAGGCGAATTTAACGTGTCACATTTGGCAGACGGTCAACAGAAAATCGAGCCGTGACCAGCCACGGCGTTTCAACCAGTTCCTTTCCAACAGCCAACGCTCCTTTTCCACCCACTCCGGGACACTCTGACTCCCTGCAAGCGGGGCCCATACTCGGTGGTTAAGGCACGTCTGGGCGCGCTGCACCCGGCCCGGGGAGCCGCTTCTGGAGCGGCCGGTCGGACCCTTCCCGCGCCTGCCGACACCTGAGATCCTACCGCCAGCGAAGCTTTTCTGACGCTCGTTTAAATCCTACTGAGAC